TCAATCAGGCCGGTTGTCATACCTCAAAGATGAATAGTAAGCATTGTATTTTATTTCTATGAGGAGATATTTGCCAGCAACCTGAAGTGTGACACCTCCCAATTAAATGTTTACATAAGAGCTTGGTTTTGATCACAATGCTCATCCTGGAATTAGGCCGTTTCTCATCTGACAAAATAACACACCTTGCACTCGTGTGCTCTTTAGCCTTTAGATCTCGGATGTTTTACTTATTTTGTTACGAGTTGGATGTGTGTCAAGAGTGTTTGGCACCAAAACCAGAATAACAACAGCAGTTAAACTGCATACCAAACAAGATAAAAGATTTATTATGAGTCTTAGATTGTTAGGGGAGATAGAACAATTGATTTTACAACTCTGGGAAAAACAAATGTCTGGGTTTTATACACCATTAAATATTATCATGACTAGATTCTTAGAAATATCAATTATTTAGGTTTAAACTGCTGTTTGTTTCAGTTTGCATATGCTTGCTAGATAGTTGCAATAGGAATAGTAATAATGTGCACAAAAGTGTAAAATATAATTGAGTTAAAAGTGGTTAAACTTACCTGTATGTGTGCTGTCATATATCTACTGTAGCTGCTTACAGTATTGTTTTATCCTATGCTTACGTGGAGTATAGGCTGCACATGCATGCAAGTAATGCAGATTCATTATTGTGATATTACAACATTGATGGTCTGCCAAAAATTTTTTTTAGTTTTTTTGCAAATCAAATTAAGGCAGTAATGTCTACAGTTGAAACTCACATCCTTCTTGCTTATCCAAGCAGCCAGCTGAGTGTGTCGAGCGTGTGTGAGCCAAAAGCCAAAATGGCTGTAGTAGCACATCAATGCCTGATCTCCTTGATAAGTGCTTCCTGCATTTAAGGGGCTATCAGAACATCCTTCTTAGCCTGTTTGTCATCTATTATTGTAGTATCAACCTTTTCATTAATATTTTTAAAGATCTGTTTTCTGGTAGCTCCACTCAGGTCAGTCTGAACTGCACACCTTGCCTGACCCCTCTCGAATGCTTCCCTTTAATTCTGCTCCACCTCAAATGACAGAACACCAAGGTGAAAGCACTACAACTTCCTCGGATTTTACATCACTCACCACTGTCTTTGCTTTATCATTAAACATGTTATAAAATGGTCGTATGGACTCTAAAGATCACTACAATCAATATATATGAGCTTGGCATGGTACTTATTTGCTTTGGAAATGTTTAGTTTGCAGCTGTATCTTGAGATCATTTTAATTGAAGCAAGGCAAAGTTCAGATGGAATATGCATAGTATCTGTTATGCCAATAGCAATACAATAATGTTTTGTGCTTGGAGTGGTAAGCTTTAGTCTTGGCATGAGGATCGAAGACAAAAAACATGTGTACACCAGCCCCATGAAACTGATGAGCTGCTTCTTCTGACAACCCTCTTAGCCAATAACATCTCTACAAACTGTATCCCATCTGGCAAATATTCAACATTCATGTAATCAGTCATGTAATCTTAATCCAGTGTGAGAAAGTCCAACTATTTAGCATAGTTAGATTTTATTACATTGGGTTCACTGATTTTAATCAATACAGTAATTATTTAATTGATATTGGTCTTTTAATCTAGCTCAAACTTTAGGTTAATTTGGCCTTTTCTAGGATTTATTTGCTATGGATGGATGATTAAAGGATAAATACCTGCGTACACAACTTGTAGTCATTACTTTTCTAAACATGCTAAAGCCATGTGTACTGTTTGGACAGATGTTTGCTGTAGGTATTCGTTGCCAGAGTTTTGACAAAGTTTTAGGTGAGCTGATTAATTCTTTTGGCATGAAAACACAAAATGTTGATATTTGCCACACTGTGGGTGTGTGTGCTACTCCTTACGTTGTTCACACTTCAGTATGAATGTTGAGTGATGTTTGTTAATGTGCAAAAAACAGCAAATCCGCATGTGGCAACATGACTCTGTGAAGTGCATTGTTGTTTATCTGTAGTCAACAAAATGTACCATAGCTGTATGTGTAAACTACACACACACAATCATAAACACACACATGTATAAATATATAAACACAGTCTGGCTGTCCTTCAGTTGGGGCACATGCCTGTGGCCTGACTTAGCCTGTGGCTTGTGTAATGATGACAGGCTCACAAACACACAGATTCCAGGACCACCACACACACGACTTGGCTGGGCCCCTGTGTGGTATACTTTGCTGCTGACAATGCTCCAATTACTCTCAATTACTCTAAAAAATGGACATTAAATTGTTTAACTGGTTGTGTCTCAACAGTAATAAAAAATACTTGTCTGCTAGAGTAAAAATAGCAAAACCACATTGTGAAAGTTCTCCATGAAAAGTTTATAGAAAACATTATCCATTGCAGCTTTAATCATAATCAGCCTTTGTTATGAATACTTTTTAAATAATGAATGGTCATTATGGAGATAGTATGGCTGCTGGCATTAGATAGCCACCAGTATCTCTGGGACAGATAACTATTTTAGTTATCTTTTAGCATAGATTCAGATTAGTTTGCGCTGAAGGCTAAAGCTAATGGCTAACCCCAACCTAATCATGGACCTAGGCTTAGATCATATAAAAAAAGTCACAAATGTTACATAGCAGTTTATGAAAAAGGTTTATTTCTGAGTTTTCAAACAGATAAGTTAGCCGTGCAGCCAGAGATAAACCCGCTTTACCAGATTTAGAACAAAATCACTGTTAAAAACAAAATAGTGGTTTAAGACTATAGCATTTTATAGGAATTTAAATTTCATGAAGAAACCAAATTGGTCCAGCACTATGCAGGAAAACCTTAAAATTTAAATCGCTTGAAGGCATAGTAGGTTGTTGATATAAAATTAAAGCAGTCCTAAGAGGAAAACGTATTACCAGAATTACCCGGTATATAGGTATGTATATATATA